TCCACTGGGAGTAGAGATGTGCATGGTTCCAAGTTAAAAAGGCTAACATGCAGCATCAGCACGTCTCAGTAAAAGGTTCCGTTTCAGACTGTTATGATTAAAAGCATAATCGATTACTACATGAAAATATACCGCTTTCATTTCATTTTTGCCATTAAAGATTAGTGATCCAACTGATTGTTTCGAGGGTTAATTTTAACAAAGCTTTTTTTCCCTCTGAGAGGGAAACCACAGCTGTAAAAAACAAAAACAAAAAAGGAACTATATTTCCAGCCCTAAATCTTTTCTCAGGTGGTTCGCTCAGGTCAGCAATTTGATTTGAAGTGGGAGTGACGTGGTGGCCCACTGTGAAAAATTGAACCAAATTTGCCAAGCAGAATGTTAAACCATGTGTAAAATCCTTGCGATCAGTATGCTCCCTGGCTGAAGCCACCATTTTCCCTTCCCACCTCTGTCCTTGGGAATGGCCACACTCATTTCTCTGCGCCTCGTGAGATCCATTTAAAAGAAAGGTGGATGTCCAGGGGTCCATTTACCTCCCCTTTGTATGTGCAGTCATTCCTTACATGCATCCAGACACTGGGTCACCACCTCTGTTAAGCAACAATCTATTCATACAACATTAGCAGGTATTTCTCTCATGCTATATGCAGTCCTTTTCATTATTTTAAAAACATGTTACATGCAGAAATGCACTAAGTGTTTCCAAAACTTTAAAGATCTTGATGGACATTTGCTTAATTTATTATCTGGAAAAAAAAAAAAAAAACACTGAAGACCTACCAACACGTTTGTATTCTACATAAACTGAGCAAGAACACTAATCAGAAAACCAGTCAAGGGAACCTCCTAAGGAGCTAAAGTGATCCTAAGCTCAGATGGGGAAATCTGCTGCCAAGACAACCTTAAACACCACGTGCTGTTTTCTCCTGTAAAACTGACAAGATGGAAGCCGTTTTTACGTGATTGAATAGAAATGAAATAGAAATAACCGTTATCATCTAAACAGTATGTGAAGCATAAATTGTAGCATGAACAAGAAAAAAGGTAAAAAAAAATGAGTAAAAAAAAGTAAAAAAATAACAATAGTAGACTGTGCATAAACATACTTTACAGGTTGTTTAAAGGTATCATAATGAATTCATATTCATGTATATCTATGCATAGAAACACAGGATAGGACATAAATGAATGATATAGACTGCATGTATAAAACAGCAGAGATATTAAACCCAATGATTTTGTTGGGAAAAGTGATTTAAACTCCAACATCCAATGGAAAGAAGGATCGGTGGTAATGCACCTTTAATCTTTCATTGCAAAATAAGGAGTTCTGTTTTGGTCTTGGCATTAGGACTTCTAGTAATCACAGGAAACTTTGGAAACATTGTTTTTTCAAAGACTAAAAAAGCTTGCTGTTTCAGAAAGGCCCAGTAAAAGCTCAGACTACATTACAATTGAGATGCTGTGACAAGACTTGAAGTCATTATCTCGGATTCTCTTCATCAGTTGTGACAGTGCTGAGGCCATTTCACTAAGAAAAATGCACAATGGAAAAATTGACGTTTTTCTTCATTTGTGCAAAGCTAGTAAAGAAAAACATAAAATGAGCTGCAGCTTTAATTACAATGGAAGGATATTCATAGATTTTTATAGGTTTCTATTAAGGAAAGGGTTTATATAATTTCAGCGCTGTCAAACATACAGCAACACGAAAAACAAGATTTGGTTATAATCACCAAACAATTATAGCCTTACTGAAAGTTTAACTCTTCAGACTCCTACAGTTGTTGGTTTTTTCCCCCCAGCTTTTTTACTGTCATTACACTGTCACAGGTACAGAGCAACGAAATTAACTCTCTGCATTTAACTCATTCCCTTGGGGAGCTGTGGGCTGCCATTGTGCGGCACCCCGGGAGCAGTGTTTGATTGCATTTGATTCGTTTTTGTGAAGCGGTGACTTTTGCAAATATTTGCACTGATATTCCAAAAAAAGTTAAAAACAATCCACTGGACTTTGTTTTCAAGTTTGAAGACGTTTCGTTACCCATCCAGGAAGCTTTTCAATTTAAAATGTCAGGAATAGCGTTGAGTTTGAGGTTTTATACAGTATTTCAACATAGCCTTGTTTTAGTTTTGAAAACATGCAAATTAGAATGGACGAACGAGTCCACCCCTTTGGAATGGGGGTCGTTTGGCTTCTTTTGTTTGCCTGCAATGCCCCATTCCCATCTAAGTGTCTGAAAGAGGGGTCGTTAAAGGGGATTGTTGGCCTGGCTACAATCCCCTATTCAGCCAGGCCAACAATCCCCTTTAACGACCTCCTTTTAGCAATGTGGCAATAAGAATAAATGTGTTGATGCCAAAAAAGGGCCCAACAGATTTTGCTTTCACAAGTGGAGCAGTATGGCTATTGCCATAGTGTTCAGCTTGATTTACACATATAAATAACTTTATTATGAATATGCAGGGGGTATTACAGATTATATGGACACTACAATGTAAACAGAGCAAGAAAGGAAAAACCGTAAAAAGGAGAAAAGGTGAAAGACAGAGGAGATAAAAGGGAGATAACGATAAAACTTCTTCAGTCTGCTTTATCACCTGCAAAGAGATGTAAAAAGAAAAAAAACGCAACCAATGGATATACAGGGGCGGAGCTAGATGGTGGGCCAGGGGTGGCCATGACCACCCTTAACCAATCATTGGCCACCCCTGTGGCCATCCCTACCATTTTCTCCCTCTTATACAGATGGTGGCTGCAGTAATAATCTCAAGTGGAATATTAAAATTTTTTAAATTTTTCATATATTACCAATTACTTGACAACAAAAACCCTGAGGTTAATTATGCTCATCAGTATGCTAACATTAAAGGTGATAAATACCGAATTTTCAGAACTAGATTTTTAGTTATATGGGGTAAAGAGAAAATAACGTGTCTCTGCAAGTCATCTAGGAGTCTTTAGTAAAATCATAGATAAATAAGTATTTTAATAAAAACGTATTAAATAATCAATTCATGTAGATATTAGTACATGTATATATCAATTTTATGCCAAAGGATTAATGATAAAAGTAGGTAAGTAATGACAATGGAAAAGATGTTTGCCTGAGAACTCAAACCTGAAAGAATTTTACCCAATATACCTTTAATTTAGACACCACGGATGTTTAAATTTATGTGTCTATTTGTTAGCAAAGGCTGTAGGAAAGTATAGTTAGTTTTTATTTTGAAAATATGTATGTTGCACTTGTTAATTTTCCTGTTGGAACAGTCTGTCCACTTTCGGCCACCCCTCAGTCTACATTGGTTATTGCCTGGCCACCCTTATAAACATTTTCTGGCTACGCCTCTGCAGATACAGTATATAATATAAGAAATACAATAAAGTAACACCTTGATACTATCGCTGAAGTATAAGTAGTATTAATTAATGTGACATGTATGCTGTGGTAGCTGAAGATAAGAATATGGGCTTTCTGTATGGAAGGGAATCTCTAAGTACCTAGAACCAAGCACCTGTAATTATTTGTGAGAGTTCACATGTGCATGTAAAGTTTATCTAAAGGAAAAATGCTCAATAGTGGTTGTGAAGAGCCAAAGACACGCCCCTCCCCTCCAGAACACCAAGGCCAATTTACATGTTTTCAAAACAAAGGCATTGTTGAGCTACTGTATAAAACCTCGAACTCAATACCAATGGCGTAACGACACAACATTGGCCTGTAAGCAACATTATCTGGGGGGCCCCAAATGAAGTACAACCCCCCCCCCCCTCATCCACGCTCTCTCCATTCATCTCCTGGTCACAATCTTTCCTCTGCAACGTCCACCATTCCCTCTTTGGTTCTTTAAAAGAACGTTTTTTCTTTTCTTCCAGCAGCTCTTCTTTCCTTTTTCTTTTCTGTAATCCGCTTAAGTACCTCTTTTTGGTATCCATCTTCGCTAACACGTAATCTGGATTACCCATAATTCCAAGTCGTATTGTAAAAAATAAAATACTAAAATACATTGTTCTTTTAAGATCTTTATTGCGGTTTGAAATATATTATATTAGAGTATTTTTTACTCAGGGAGCAAACCAGGTGTCAGTGACGGGGCCCCTAAAAGGTCGGGGGCCCCTAAGCAACTGCAGTCTCGGCTTGCCGATAATTGCGCCACTGACCAAAGCTATTCTGTCATTATCCTGGCGCTGGTGGCTGGCTTGATTGCTCATTACATTCACCTGTTTAACTCTGCCCTGTTTCTCATCATCACTTATCTTATCCACCTGTTTCCAGCTCCTATATATAGTGTTTGTTTTCAGCCACCAGTGCCAGATTATTCTCACCTAGGTGAGAGAAACAGTCCAGGTTCTGTAACCACCAGGATCCAGGAAAACAGTGCAAAAACACAGCAAACAGAGCAGACAAGGGCAAGGTAAAAAAACGCTCAGAATCAGGATAACAGACAGACTTACTTGAGGGCTAGAGTTACTCTTACAGCAGCTTGAATAATCTGGCACTGGTGGCTGAAAACAAACACTTTATATAGGAGCTGGAAAACAGGTGGATAAGATAAGTGATGATGAGAAACAGGGCAGAGTTAAACAGGTGAATGTAATGAGCAATCAAGCCAGCCACCTGTGTCAGGATCATGACATATTCCTGACATTTTGAATTGAAAAAGCTTCCTGGATGGGAAGCGAAACGTCTTCAAACTTGGAAACCAAGTCCAGTGGATTGTTTTTCATTTTTTTGGAATATGACCCGGATGACTGAAAATCTTCATCAACATTTGCACTGATAATATAAGAAAGAAAAAAACAAAACAAAAAACAGAACAATAATCTACAAAAAAAATATATGCTTTATGTCCGAAAACTGATGTAAGAAAGTAACTATGTCCTCAGTGTGATTGTTTACCAGCGATCAGAAGTATTTCAAGGTGTTTTCATTGGTGAAGCGTCTTCATTAGTCAAAAAGCGTGGGCGGGACTCTATCTCTCTGCAGCGAGTCAAAGTCAAAGCAATAAAGGGAAGCAGGAGCTGCACTTTGCCGACGAGCATTTCTGCCGTCCTGCTTCAGCACAGTCACCACTGCCCCCTCTGATCAGCCAAAACACGCAGGGACTCCTGAGTTCATCAATGTAACTCGGGTCAACGAGAAACTGCACCGTTCAGCTGGATAAGTCCAATCCCCACCGAAGAGAGAGAGAAGAATAAGAAAAAAAAAGGAGAGAGTGGAGTGTTGGCGTAAAAATTGTGAAGGAAAAGAGAAGAATATGATGCTCAAGCAGCACCTGATCTTCATCCTCTACAGCCTCTGTTCAAGCGTCTTTAAAGGTGAGCCCCGCTTTGGATGGATGGATGGATGTTAATGTTGTGCAGACGGGCGTGGTGTGCGCAAAGCTGGAGGCTGTGTGGAGTGTTAAAAGATCATTTATGCTCGCCGCACACTTGGGTGCAAGTTGTGTTATTCAATGCAAAATAGAGGCAAAGAGAGTTGGTTCGCCTTTAAAACGGCGCTGCAGCAGTGCGCCGCTGTCTGCTGTCAGAGCCAAGTGTGCTGGAATGCCTGGAAGTTGAATTGCGCGGCGCAGTGGGGAGCAGAATGCGGCTACGCAAGTTTCTGCGTCGGGAACAACTTGGATGTCGCCTAAGTGGATGATTAGTTCTCTGTTTCTGTGCTCAATCAGCTGAGTATTTCTTCGCAAACTGATCCAGGATGCAGGAGAGGAGGCTGGTGTCTTGTTTGTTTAGTGGATGATCACAACCACAGGCTGCGCGCAGGTTGATTTTTAGGGATTGTGGATTTGCAAAGATGAAAATCGTCCTTAATGCAAACATGGGTACATTTGGTGAGGGTGTATATTGTGCACACTGTCTAAAGAGTGCATGTGCATCTCCAGCATGGTGCACAGGGACAGCATCGTGCACAGACGCAGGTGAGGTTGCGTGACTTGAAGCCTTTCAGCAGCTCGGTTTGGATGTCGCCTCTTGACAGCAGCCCATCTCCCCACAGACCGTCCCGCTCCTGGACACGTCTGCGCAGCCACCGCCCTACAGGCGACCAGCCTCCTCAACCCCCTTCAGAGGAGCTGCTGGTGGTGCCTTCAAAGTGCTCCATATGACAAATGGTCAAATTAATCCGCCTTCCTCTTTTAATAAAAAAATCCCACATGACATTAATGACATTGTCATTGCAGATTTAGTGTAAGCCATGGTGTAATGAAAGTGATTAGAGCAATTTTAACTCACAGCAGGAATGATTTAGACTAATTCTACTCAGGAACCCAGTTCCCCACATTTAATCCTGGGGGTCACTAATAATCGTGGGGTGGCAGCACAGAACCATAAAACCATAACAGAGGCTGAGAAGTTTTGCTCTACTGTTAAAAATAAATTGACATTTATTATTGGACCTATATAGGGCAAATAAATACATTCATTAACCAATAATCACTTATTATTGATGGAACGCAGTGAAATTTGTATCCTCTATTGAGTCCATATAAAAATGTCAATAATATAAAACAGTGCCTGTCAAGGGGACCTAATAGCTTACCCACATTAGAATCAGTTTAGTAAATACTGAAAAGCGTGTTGGCAATAAGTCGGAGACGATAACGACACAATCTGTGTTAGAATTCACAAAATATTTATATAATATGCCTTAATGAATGCTCGTTTTTTTGGAAAGTCGCTGTCAGCAAGTCTTGCCTCATCTAACAGAGCTGTCCAACTTGAAATGCCATCATCTGTTAGGCACAGCTGTGACCCGAAAAGACATCCAACCACATCCACAGTCACAGCTTGCCTAGAGACATGCCCCTTTTGGACACGATTATGGTTTTAATTAAATAACCTTGGATGATTTTTGCAAATTCCATCCATCCATCCATCCATCCATCCATCCATCCATCCATCCATCCATCCATCCATCCATCCATCCATCCATCCATCCATCCATCCATCCATCCATCCATTTATCTGATTATACTGAGATGTTTTAATTTTATTATTATTATTATTATTATTATTTAATTTTATTAAAATGATAATTGATGTAAAACTTTTTTAATCCATTACAAATAACAGTTTTTCTCTCTCTGGGCTTAATGAAATCTAACTTTGAAGCACTTCCTCTGGCTTTGCAAGTTATATCAATAGGGGCGACCATTCTGTTACCAACCGAAACTAAATTCAATAAATCTCTCTCTATGTCATTTGCAGAGTTAAGATTCTTAACTTTTGCTCCTATAGCCCAATCGATTCACACTTGTATCATTGCATTCTTAAGCATGCAAACTATACTCTCAGATAAAATGATTTTAAGGACCACAGACTTTAACCTCTGTCAGCCGTGGGATCATTGACTACCGATATGGGGATATTAGCATAGCTTTAAAGATTTAGTAAAACTGGCATTAAAGGGATTTACTAAAAAGGCAGACACCATCAAATGCCATTTAGGGTATGGAAATAGCACAGCAGCAGCAGGTAGAAAAAGATGAGCTGATTTTAGTTTTTATTTTATCATATCAAATAAAAGATATGCCTTGTAGTCTTAAAATCTAACAGGATTAAAACAAATGCTATTCATTCATCGTATCGGAGACATGATAAGAATCGCTGGTAATTACACTAGGGCTGCAACTAACGATTTTTTCGTAAATCGATTAATCTGTCAAAAGGTTCAGCAAAGGTTCCTTAAAGAAGACGTTTTTGTGGATTTAAACCAAATGAAAATAAAGCTTTTCCACTGGAGGAGTTCTGGTTAGAGCATATTGATAGACGAAAAAGATTTTTATCTTTAATTCTAAATGTTTACACATTTTTTTTTTTTTTTTACAAATTTGGTATATTTGCTGCTGAAAGTGGGTGGCTCTGTCAGCTAAAGACACATTTTACAGTCCCTATACTCCAGTTAACAATTAATCGCTTACTAAATTAGTTGACGATTATTTCAATAAAAGAATTAATCATGATTTATCCGATTCATTGTTTCAGCCCTGAATTACAGAGACTTATTTTGTTCAAAATAAGCCCAACTGTATTTATTAGCCTTTTCAAGTCCCCAGTGGTTCCAATTCTGTTCAAGGCTTCATTACCATCTTCTTCAAGAGCATCGTACTGCAGGGGCAGGGAGCCGCCATTTTTACAATCAATGGCGGACATACACGCTGGAAGTCAGTAGGAGTGGGTTTAGCCCTCAGGGGAGAGAATAAACCAAGGGTATCAAATGAGCTTTTGATATTGAGTATATTGACTTTATGTTGGGTTTCTAAAAGTTCTGCTGTGAACTTTTTCTTCGTTTTTGACGGAGCTTTTTTTGAAGTGTCTAAACATCTCTACAAACAGCAATCATCAAAATTATGTAAAAAAAAAAAATAGATTGTGAGGTATAACTAGTTCAAACTTTGAATTGCGTCAAGTTTTCACATAAAGGAATTTAACTAAAAATAAAACAACTAAAAAAGAGCTGAATTAACTTATTGCGTGCACTTCCAGTATGGATTGTTAAAACTGGACATATCCTGTCTTAAATGGATGCCTCTGATCTTCTTTGACCTTCTGCCCAAAACAGTGCAAGTATATTAAGTCAGGGTAGCACTAATATTTGGACTCATCTGAGGAAAGTTTTCTGCATCAATTAATCGTTTTGGAACTTTTCTTTTTCTAAGTTTGCTTGCAAAACAAAACACACCTTTGAGTGGAAGATGCTACTGAGGGAAGAAGGCTCTGAACTAAATATCAGTATCATTAATGTGTTTAAATTTGAGCAAGGAGAAAAATGTTATTTATATAAAAGGAAAAATGTTTTTTCAATTTAATGAACACAAAGAACAGTACAATAAAAAGATAAAAAAAACACTGTTCTTTATTTTATATGCCCTGTATTATAGAGTGGTGAACATATTTATTTAATCCAGTATTAAGCATAAACAATTGTAGGGATTTCTATACCTTTTTTATACAATTTACAGAATTTAGAGCTTCAACAGAAATTGTGCCAGTTGTGAGGTTAAAAATAGTTATCAGAAAGCTAACCTACTTGGCTCCAGATTTTAGTTCATGAGAGGAAAGAGAAAGAACGGGGCCCATGAAAAAGGTATCTTGTCCAGAGGCTGTTTCAAGATAGCGCCCACTTCAAGGGCTACTTGAAATATTAATGATATGAGGGTAAAGTTTAGATGCATGAGGTGCCAAGGCCAGTGCTCCAAAAGTATAAATCATATATGTTGCTTTTTAAAGATGTGTGAAGTAAAAAAAAACAAAAAAAAAACAACAACAAATAAGAGTATTATAAGAGTATTGCACTGAGACAAAGGCACCACAATTACCCAAACATGTTATTATAATTATTTGAATTTTTAATCTGCTTCAAGTGTGGACTATTCTGAAAACATTTGAGCAATTAAATGATATGAGCTGGGTAAGAGGTATTCAGATTTTTATTGAAGTAAGGCAGCTACAAGTACAATGAGCATTCCAGTGGGAATAAAGGCTTGAAATATTAGCAACAAAATGTATTTCTCCTAAGGCCCAGTCTTTATCTGGCATTTCCATTCTTGTGCATAAGCAATCGGTTTGGGGTTTGTGTTAGGGTTGTCTCCTCAGGATTGTCCGAACAGTTTATGTATCATTGATGCATATTCATATAATTTGTAAATACAGAGACTAAAGGGAAGCGAAAAGGGGATGAATGTTAGGACATATTAGTGCCTATTTGGCAAAGAATATAGACAGAGATATATTCAGAGACACAGAAATTACTTAAATCCTTAAAAATCATTTTTCAATAGATAAGATCAATAAGATTTTTTATGTCTATATAGGACACACGTACAGTATAAAACAAAGGGGAAGCTAAGAGGGAAGAAAAATCGCTCCTACATCAGTACACCTTATGGTCCATAGCATCCTCTGGTTTCTCTGAAGTCATGAGCAATTTTCAGAGAAACCATCTTCTCTAGCAGACAAACAAACAAATGGGACTGAAAACATAACCTCTTCAGCGCAGGTATAAGGGAGCGGATCTACTGAGCGTTCACAGCCTAATCGACAGTTAAATTGCAGTGCGCCACATCACATACTGCAGCGATTCTGTAGACAAGACTTCAGCCTCAGCAGCTCTGTTCATGCACCATAATGCTGTGAGTCATTTCACACAGACTCATCCTTTTTTTTCTTCTTTGTCAAAGAAATACACTTACTATTTTTGCTTATGTGACATTCTGAAAACCTATTTATAACTTTAGCCCATGTAGCGGCACGCTGTCCAAATATTTAAAATGTCTGCTTGACAGACTTTATTAAACTTCTTCCATGTGCTGCTGCTC